TCCAGCTCTGGAGCCCTCAGCATAAGACAGACATGGACCTGTTGGAGTGGGTCCAGAGGAGGGCCACAAAAACGATCAGGGGTATGGAACATCTCTCCTAAGAAGAAAGACTGAGAGAGTTGGGGTTGTTCAGCCTAGAGAAGAGAAGGCTGCAGAGAGACCTTATTGCAGCCTTTCAGTACTTAAAGGGGGCTTATAAAAAAGATGGTGGCAAACTTTTTAGCAGGGCCTGTTGCAACAGGACAAGGGGGAACAGCTTTAAACTAAAGGGGGGTAGATTTAGAGTAGATATAAAGGAAGAAATTTTTTATGCTGAGGGCGGTGAAACACTGGAGCAGGTTGCCCAGAGAGGTGGTGGATGCCCCATCCCTGGAAACATTCAAGGTCAGGTTGGGTGGGGCTCTGAGCAACCTGATCTAGTTGAAGACATCTCTGCTCATTGCAGTGGGGTTTGGACTAGATGACCTTTAAAGGTCCCTTCCAACCCAAACTATTCTGATTCTGTACAGATTAATCTTTTCCACTCTTTGCAGTAACTATAACAAAAAGGAGGACGTGGTGGGTTAGCTTTCTCTCTAGACAATCTGTCACAAAAGAGTCCAAGCCTTTCCTAATATACCACTTCCTAGTTGGTGACACAGGCAAAAATGTTCAAGGGAGAAAGGCATGATGAGGCTTTCCTGTGCCTGAGTGATATCTAGTTGCCCAAAATGTATCACTTGATTATCAGCAGGCATTGTAACTTAAAGTTGTGAGGTTCAATCTAAAAGACATTTGGCTTGGAACAGGGACAGGCAAAGTTTATATGAAGATATCACTTTTCTGTCCTACTTTCTGCCTTTAGTGCGTGCAATGCAAGGATATATTACTGTAAAGAAATGGGACTTTTAAAAAGGTGCATTCGTTGTAATTGCAAAAAGCCTAAACCCTTGAGAGTCTGAATGTGCCCAACTGAAATCCAATTCAAATCATTTTAAGGTTAATAGGTTTGGCTTTGGGAGAGAATTAGGTCATAGTAGTCATTGAATATAGATTATTTCTTCCAGGGGATATGTAATTTCTGACATTACTGGTAACTCTTTTCTCTTTCATTTAGTATCTCCAACTTGGGCATGTTTGGCATCAATGATTTCACTGCAGTCATAAACCCTCCTCAGGCTTGCATCCTAGCTGTGGGCCGAGCAAGACCAGAGCTCAAGATTGTGGAAGATGAAGAGGGGAATGAAAAACTTAAGCAGCATCAACTCATGACAGTGACTCTTTCAAGTGATGGTCGGGTGGTAGATGATGAACTGGCTTCAAAGTTTCTGGAGACCTTGAAAGCCAACATAGAGAATCCAATGCGACTTGCCTTGTGTTAAACTCAGTGAAGATTGCTTCTTGTTTTGACAACATAGATAACTGTTATGTACTTGGGTTGTTTTTCTGTATAAAGGAGTAAATAGTGACTGTGAGATGGACAGTTAAAATATTTAATTTATTGAATTAACATGAAAAACTATTAATTTTCATGCTTTTAGTCTTTTGCAATGACCAGGTTTTACACCGTAAAGCTAGAAGACTTTAAAGTTAACATACTACGTTTCTTTAAACACTTAGTACTAATTGCACATAACATTTGCGTAGAAAAGTCAATCTCCTCTGTAAAGGAAAATTCAAGGAAACTTTGTGAAATTTAAAAGGGAATCATAGAATAGTTAGGGTTGGAAGGGACCTTTCTTTAAAGGTCATCTAGTCCAACCCCCCCTGCAATGAGCAGAGACATCTTCAGCTAGATCAGGTTGCTCAGAGCCCCGTCCAGCCTGACCTTGAATGTTTCCAGGGATGGTGCATCCACCACCATCAGGGCAACCTGTTCCAGTGTTTCACCACCCTCAGCGTAAAAAATTTCTTCCTTTATATCTAGTCTAAGCCTACCTTCTTTTAGTTTAAAACCATTACCCCTTGTCCTATCACTACAGGCCCTATTAAATGTCTGTCCCCATCTTTCTTATAAGCCCCCTTTAAGTACTGAAAGGCTGCAATAAGGTCTCCCCACAGCCTTCTCTTCTCTAGGCTGAGCAGTGCCAGCTCTCTCAGCCTATCTTCACAGGAGATGTGTTCCATCCCTCTGGTCATTTTTGTGGCCCTCCTCTGGACCTGCTCTGACAAGTCCATGTCTTTCCTGTGCTGAGGACTCCAGAGCTGGATGCAGTACTCCAGGAGGGGTCTTTCCTGTGCTGAGATGGGATGCTTTACTTAAGAGCTAAATATCTAGCTTTTAGAATGAGGAAAGCAAGAATCATAATTGAGCAAAGTGCTGCTATGAGTCTGGGTCAATACTGAGATAACACAATAGCTAATTTCTATTGCTACAGTAGAAAGGTTTTCAGAAGACTTTTCTGGCATGTTGTGCCATCCAAATTAGATTGAAATTAGATTTATGAGACTTTGACAGATATTTCAATGGCTTCCTACATAAACAGCAAAGACATTACAAACCAAAGAAGTTTTGGTTTAATTTCATTTACATCACAGATTTAACTGTTCTTTATCTTCTCCTTTACTATAAGCTACATTGAAGAAAACAAGATGACTGTGGAGATGAATGGGGAAAAGAAATGACAGGAAATTCTGAGACTAAATTAGATCATAGATAACAAAGTGATTTCTCAAAATATTAAGTAATCTGTGAAATCCATAGCTTCATTCATGTGATTAGAACTCATTAAAACTGTAGGTGCATCTATTTTTTTCTAGTATCTTAAGATAACTGCATGATCTAATGCCTTGCAGAGAGAGGTAGAGAAGAGAATAAAGTCTGAATAAATGCATTCTCCGTAAAGGATGGAATCTTGGCATTGTTGATTTTCAGTTTTTGATGGAACCAACATTCAGTGAAAACAACATTTTGTGGGTTTTTTTTTTAAATAATAATAGGTTTTCTTTGACTTAATTTGGAGACAATTACATTTTTTAAACTTATAAGTTTAAAATTCAGATATCTTTTTCAGTACCACAATATATAAAAAAAAATATTTTTTTCACGTGCTCTGTGATATATTGTGCTTAACTTAAAACTTAAGTAAATTGTGCCAGCAGTATTGTGATGAAAAACTACCTTTGCTCTCTTAATCTCATAGAGGTTCCAGTATGAAAGGTCAAATTTTGCACACTGAATATTTGCTGACTAATGCGGTTCTTAGAATAAAGATGTAACTAGAAAGTATTTCATCATCAGTGTATATTGAATTGTAACTCGGAGGCTTAACTGCAGTGGCCTGAAGTTTAAATTAACAGAAGCAGATTTGTTTTTTCTTATGCATAAATATAGAACCATGTATTGTATGTGTTTGTAATGAAGTAACTGCATTTACAGGACCTGGTGAGAATATAAATTGTAAGTAGAATTCTGGGAGTTTGTCTTATTCTAGTTTGTGCAAGTACTTTTTTTAAAGATTTGGAGGACTTGTTTGTTGAGCTGCTGCCATAATTAAAAAGTTAATTGCAAGACAAAACCTTTTGTTAATACTGAGTTGAGAGTTTTTGCTAAATGAATTTGCTTCTCTGGCATGTTCTGATATCATAAATTTCATAAACTGTCAAATCTAACAGTAGGGAGAGATTTTGATTACCAAATCTAGTTTACTGTTCAATAATGGACATACCCATTCTGCATTTCCAGGAGTTTGTCACTGATAAATTATATTCAAGATTGGGTGCTGAAGATTAATTTGCAATTTTAAATGGTTAACCATGAATTTCTCCGAAATTGTTTGTCAAGCCCGTATTACTTTGAAGGGAAAAACCCCACCAATTTATATATTGTCCTTAATAATGTACAGGAAGTTCTCATTGTTTGCATAGCTAAATCTGTTCTGCCCAAGAGAATTTGCAGACTAATTTAAAATCTGATACACTGTTCTTCATTTTTGTATGTGGTGCTCTAGTGGTGGTGTGTGCTCCCCAGCATTTGTATATTCTACTCTTTAGCTGGCCATGGCTAAGGGCTGTGTGACTGATGTGTACAACTATAGTTTTGCGTGTATGTGTGTTCATGTAGTGCGAGTCAGTATGTTTTACTTTTGCTTTTGGAGCCACTGGAAGGCACTATTGTATGTAAGTATAGAATGTTTATCATGTCTCATTCACATGGGTACCAATACATCCATTATACTTTCCCTGTTCAACACAAACAGGTGAAAACAATGTTACTTTTTCTCCAGGTTAAATAAACCTTTACAACTTTTGAACTAGGCAAATCTCAGTAAGGCTAATACAAGCTTTAGTTCCAATTTCTTTACACCTGCCTGCTTGCCAGCATTGTCATTTGACATACATCCATATTTATGTGATTTGTCAGTCAATCAGCCTGTGAAGGAAATCTCTGGAATGCAGACATGTGACAGCAGTCAGATTTCCTTAATTCAGAGTAATCATACCATTTGGCAACATCTACCACTTTAGCAGAAGTGAGACAACAAATAGTTGCCCATACAGATTAAAATAAAACATTTAATATATCTTCCTGAAGAATTTAGGGATTTGGGGATGGGGGCAATGGATAAAATGGCCCAGAAAGTGAGCCGTATGAAATGGTTATGCTTACATTTGAAGCAATGCTCATCTCCATCCATACAAAATACAGTAGACACTCTTATTTCAACTAATGATTAGTCCCAGTGGATACAATAGAATTTTAAAGTTGTGTAGGAAGCCATAAATATGACAAATAATCCAAGAAACAGTCACGTGCTTTTATATGCTGTGTTTTACAGAAAGTTGCATATTGATATCATTAAAGTGTATGCAATTGCAGAGTGAGTTAGGAGGAAACTAATTCAGAATTGTTGGAACTAAGTGTCATGCTTGATATGTTTTTCATATACAATAATTTGTGCCATAAGGGGACAGAAAATAAAAAGGTGCCATTGGGATTGATCATGTAATAGTCTTATGGTGGTGACCTGTATGTTTGAAATGGATTTTACTTGTTTTAATTATTTTTTTTACTTTCTTGGCTTTTCTTGTATGAATTCGCATTTTTCCACTGAGGTTGTGTCCTGGATTACATCAGACCATAACAAATACTTTTTCCTCCCTAAAATCCACTGAAAATGTGTGTTATTGTAATTTCTTTGAAAGCAGTAGAAATAAAGTGCATGAAATAATGGTTGCACAATGACCAGTGCCAACTGGTCAGGTGGGTCAGTCTGTTTCTGTCAGAAGTACTCATTGCAAGCCCCTTTCAGTACCACTCAGTTTATCCTGGCAGTTTCAGGTACGGGTTAATCAGAGTAAGGTTAATCTACTTGTATGTTAACCAAAAACAGGCAAGACTGGGAGCAGCCCCTGGGAAGCTTAATTTCTATAATCTGTGCTGTAGACTTTTATGGAGAAGAATTTTGCTCTCACAGGTGGACAATCCAGTATCTTTCACAACTGCTTCAAGGATATGAAAAGCTGTAGCATAGAATTAAAAACTTTGCATAGGAAAAGGCAAAGCTGAGATGTGGCAAACATGACAGCATACACATTTAAAAGCTTTGGTGACTGAAGAGCTGAACAGTATCCCAATGTCATGTTTTGGCAGAAGGAAGCCATGTTACAAGAGTCCCCTTGCCAAGCAGGCAGTTTTCCATAAGCAAGTAGGTTACATGACACTAAAACATGTATAGGTTACTGAGCTGGTAGATCATACTATGATGCGGTTTTTAATTCAACTGTTTTTATCTTTGTTTTTAACTAGGTCCCTTAGGTCTCTGTTGTTGGTGATGATTCCCCCCCCCCCAAAATGTAAAACTATTGTCTTAAGAATTCACAAGAATGTACATCATTGACTTGCTTATCAAGGAATGTAATGTCTACGTGTTCAAAATCCTCTTTGATCTGTTTCCAGACCCCATGCAGTCCGTACAGCTGTATAAGCTAGAAAAGAATGCAGGTTGTCATGAGAGACAGGCTCTCTTCTGGTATTCAACCAAGCTGCCCCTTTCTGTAACCCACAAAACTGTTTGTTGTGGTAGTGCTAGATCAAGAGCAAGCGTTCTTTGAAACGTGTAGTAGTGTTAGTGGTGTCATTTGCAGACTAACACATGCAACGGCCCTCGGTCTCACACAGTTGGATGATCCTATATAACTTGAATGCAAGATTGTAAATTGACATTGAATGTTATTGCAAGTTAGGTGCTCTTTTTTTAGAAGAAAACTATTAGGACTCAGACCACGGGGGGAATTTGAATGGAACTGCTGTGACTGTACAAGAGTGATTTCCAAGAGCATAGCATAGCAAGAAACCATTCTTCATAGGATTAGGACACCTGTTGTCCTCTATCTGGACTTCTGTAAGGCCTTTGGCACAGTCCCCTGCAACATCCTTAAAGATTAGAGATCAAGAGAAGATTCTCTTTTATACCTTAAAAGTTCCTGTCATGTGGCCTAGACCTAGATAGGAAGTAAAGGGCAGCTGTGAACATTTTTATTTCTGCTCACTGTTGTATGAAGAATATACTGAATTGTTAGTGCAGCAGATCTTCTCTCTCCTACAGTTTCATGATTTTTGCATTGGCTATGTAACAGTCATTACACTGTGCTGTTCGCTTCAGTTTGCAGGGATCTAAGCAATTGAACCCTGTAGGATACTCTGTTGACCTAGTCATCAACCAATTCCTGTTTCAGCTGCCTATCTTAAGAAAATATGTGTAATTATGTTTCATTTTGCAAGTTTGGTGCACTTTTAATTTCTTCCCTGCCA